CAGTAAAATGGATCAATAATCAATTTCCAGGTGCATAAATGTGATTTGTGGTGTGTTCAGGACCTGTATTGTTTTTCCCTCTAAATCAGTGTTGGGGGAAATATGGGTTTCAGATATATCTAGCTCCCGAGGATTTTACCAAAACCGTGCTCATTTTGGGGTTTATCGTTTTAATACTCGAACACGACTGTCCGGCATAAAAGGCACAAAGAGCACGCAGTGTATCACATCCTTAAAGAAAAAAAAGGCGCTTTATTTTTGCAAGGCTGTATTAAATTGTAGACGTGAGATCGGGGAAGCAGACCTTTAGCCTCTATGTCCCGATGGGCCTGGAAGTCAAGGTTGGGATTGAGTGAGTGTGTTGTGGGATCGGGGGCACACGGTGTGAGTGTGCATACGGTCCAGGCGTGGGAGTTTCTGGGGTCATTCATTAATTGGGTTGGTCAGGAGGAAATAGGATTACAATCGGTCTTCATCCTGGCTTCACTGGAGGGGTGCGGGCAAGGAGTGACAGTGAATCAAACAGTTTAAATATGTGAATAGCTTTGATATTTGTGCTCTCTCTTTTTTTGGGGGGTGGAACTGTGATCTGTAGCTGAAATGAGAAAGCGGTAAGTCGCAGTTGTTGCAGTCTGCCGTGCGTTATGTCCTGCAAAAAATAGGAGTGATCGTTTTTATTTTCGACTCTAATTTGAGTTTCAGTGCTGAAAATCTTTTCAAGGTGTTTTGTTCAGTGACGCACAAAGTGTGTTTTGATCCCACCATCTTTTTACAGTTTGCAACAATGCTGTCCATTAAAAAAGAGAGAACCTCTGAATTCATTTAATGGAGACTCAAAACGTCTCCCAAGTCATTTTTATTCTCATCGGTGGCTCTGCTTTTTTATCTCCGATTCAAATGTTTACAAAAGCAACAAAACTTAACACTTGACGGCCGTGTACAAGTTATATCTACAAGGATTTTTTTTTTCACATTTACACGCAAACCCCCCGAAGATACTTCTCTCCTTAAAACCGGCAGCTTTATTTTACGTCGTAAATGTATTATATACAAGAATAAAATGTCGGTCCTATATTAAGTCAGAAGTGATCGAAACCAACTCGAGCCTAAAGAGAAAACCTGTGATATTCACGTTGCTGTGTTAAACTCTCCGGATTACCAGCTCCTTCAAGAGTTAAACCTTGATGGGTTTTACAGGTAACTCGGAGAGTCGTGTTGGTGAAAGCGTCATCATTGGGTTTTTTTTTCCCCCACAATCAAATAACCTCATGGTAAACAGCGGGATAATAATGACACGTTTTCTTTTTAAGTTTCAGTCTCGTTTAAGGGTCATTATTGGCAAATGGTCTGACATGTAGCCGTCTCAAGGCGAACCCCATTCCGTTTTATTTTGCCCCTAAAAACGAAAAGGGGTCCGTCTTGAGACGGCTACACAAAATGGGGACGGGGCAGCTCCGGTAGACCGAATAACGCGAAAGCAGCGAAAATTCACGACCTTGTGGATACGTCTTGGCTATATTTTAACCGATAGACGTGCCCGGGCCGTAACACTGTGGTAACATTACACAGCATTGCTCCGAGGTGGCGGGGAAGAAAAAAAAACACGTACGTAGAGCAGAGGCCGGCCTTCGGATTCTCTCTCTCTCTTTTTTTTTTCCTTCCACGGGGCTGTGACCAAAAAAAAAGAGAGTGAGAAAGAGAGACAAACCTCTATCTACATCAACAGCGCAGTTGTAGATTAACTTTATTCTGAAACTTGAGCTGTGGGTGAAACCTAACCGGCAGCGCGACGCGGCGCCTGATTGACAGCAGGTCCGGCATTATGCAAATGCCGCTGGGGGTGCTGGCGCTGCAGAGGCGCGGGGAAGATTAGGGCTGCGTTCGGGATCAGTGAGCACACACGCTCTGCCTCTCTGCCGCTCGCACTTCAAATTAAAAGCAACTAGTGTTTCGCCTGCCTGCTTGTGCTTTCGCTTTGGTCTAACGAGCCGACGCACGGGTTAATCTTCCCTCGTGGTCCGTTCACATCGGCGTTACCGCTAGTTTGCCATCAGTATGGGTCCGTCAGTTTTATTTTATTTTCTCTCTCTCCCGATTCTGTCTGTTGGGTGCAGTTGAAGCAGCTCCAGACGTTTGACTGCGGGAGGAAATGCCTAAAAAAGATGCACGTCTGTGTTTGAGGCGAGAAGGTGGCTGTTTACATCACACTTAAAGATAAAAGGGAAAAAACCCTTAACCCTTTTTCTAAAAGCACACAGATTTGATACAGCTCTTATTTTCCACATTAACACAAAACCAAATGTGCTTGCTTGGCTTACTATCTAATATAGTCTAGGTCTTTAAGTAGGTCAGGCTGGGTTTAAGCAGCTTTCCTGAATCTGCGTCAGCTTAAGCTGAAAGGAATTTCAATAAAACCCTCCCTGGTAGGCGTGGGCCTAAATGAGGCTGGCCTAGTTAAGCCTGATTTCTTTTTGTGTGTGTGTGTTGTGTGTTACAGAAGGGAGAGGGAGAGTTTGGCGTATGTGTGTGTGTGTATTTTGTGACAAAGGGAGAAGGAAAGAGGGGAAGAAAGGGATACCAAGGCAGACTGGAGCAGAACAGCACAAGTCACACAGACCAACACGCAGCATGAGCAAGAATGGCTGCTGTATTCATGGCAACAAACATGGTGGGAAAAGCCAGGTCCTCCAATTTCACTCTGTCTGAGAAGCTGGATTTGCTGAAGCTGGTGAAGCCCCACATTAGGATTCTGGAGGAGCACACCAACAAGCACGCGGTCATCGTGGACAAAAACAAGTGCTGGGACAGCATCGCCGAGCAGTACAACGCCCTGGGGGGCGACCGGCCGCCCCGCACCGCCCAGGGGCTCCGCACCCTCTACAAGCGGCTGAAGGAGAGTGCCAAGCAGGAGATGGTGCAGCGCAAGCACGCCCAGCCCGAGTACCGCGGCAGCATCTCCGAGCCCACCAAGAGAGTGATGGAGATGATCCCTCACCTCTTCCAGCCCCTCCAGGACAAGGACCCCGGCGGCCTGCAGAGGTGAGTCCGTGCCCCCCCACTCGCACACGGCTGCTCGGGGTCGCCCACTGTGCCCACCCTTTATTCTGCAGCCTCATTGCCAGTGCCGGTGACTGACTGGAATTCCCTGGTGAACTGTAACCTAGCCACACCCCCCCTCCTCCCCTGTCTTGTTTACCTGACTCTCTCTCTCTCTCTCTTTATTTTGACTGAAAGGTGGGCCGAGCAGCGTCAGGCAAGCAGGCCCAGCTTTGCCTGTAACATTCTTGGTTTCTTGATCTGCTGCTGCCTGAGCAGGAGTGCAGGATACTGTAGTCTCCCCCCCCCCAGGCGGCTGTGCAGTCCAGTGTGGTGTAAGGCGCTAGATTTCGGTGTGGTCGTGTAATCCCGCCCCGTTTCTGGCCGCCACAGCAGCAGATGGAAGAGACGAGCAGAGTACAGTGACTCCATCCTGCAGCTGGTGTAGTCTTCTCCACCCTCCCCCCCCACCTCACCTAGCTGCTCTGCGCCTGAGGGAAGTGGGGCAAACCCTTGTCTCTGCTGTCTGACTGTTGTTACACCCAAGAAACGAGCCAGTGGCAGCTCACCTGGTACTTGAGGGATGTGGCAACCAGTTGGAGTCTCTCTATAGTGGTTCTGGCCTGTTGCTGGGGATTCTTTTGACGTCATTTTCCTGGCAGGTTCTGCCACTGCGCTTTTTTTGTTTTGCTTTTATCACATTGAGCCCTCGATACAATCGCCTCCGTTCAATTGTACGTTTCAAATCTGGGTTAAAAAAAATCTCTTCTCCTAGGCCAGAGAAGAAGGGGTTTGGTTAGCAGGCCTGGGTCAAATTAGTTTGCGCTGTTAGTTAAACGAGACATGAAACCTCCTTTCAAACAGCACCGCCTTTGCGTTTAATTGAATAGCAAAAGTAAACGTCTTAATTGAATATACTGTAGCTGAAAGAGCAGCTTCCTGCTTTTATAAAGGTCTGTTTTTATTACTTTTGTTTTTCAAGCTTGAGAAGCCTTTAAATGCTAAACTCAAAATTTCAAAATGGAGTTAACTCATTTAATTTTTATACCCACCTGATATCTGCATAGCCTTTTCAAATAAAATGAATAAATTAGCCAGTCTGGCAAACCTCCAGATGGTGGAATTAAAAATGCAATGCACACATGATAGGTAATAAGATGTTAGTATGTGGGAAGTGTTGTCTTTTAGGCCTTCATTCCAGCTGTGCTCTTAAAACTTTTAAACGATTCTAAAAAGTTAATAACTTCTGAAACACTTTTGTAATATTTTCTTTTTATTTTTGATATTCGTAAATAAGAACTATTGAAATATAATCAAAAATACGTAAGGCATCCTGAGGTTAACTGAAGGTTTGTGACTTTCTCTACTAGTAATATTCCGTGCTTTACACAAGTGTAGGCCTTATTAATTTCAAAGGTTGTCATAAAGTCTCCAGCAGATTGTTGTAAATTGGTAAATGTAGACTTTCTGCATTAACTTTTAAGAGCAGACCTTTGTGGGGGGGGAAAAGTCTCATGTTCTCTGTGTACAGTGTACTAATTAACACACTACAGCAGGTCGCAACACGGCACAAATTCTGTGGCACGCCACAACCCTCCCCACACAGGACACATCACAGACCCACAATATTCTTAATATCAGATACAAACCTATCGAGAATATTTAACCTGGGTTCAAGATGGAAAAAGAAAATATTGTTTTGTTAGGCAAAATGTTATTCTGTTAAGTACTGTGTGCTATTTAAAGATAGAACAGTGTTCTCTGTTTCGGACGGTGCCTGTTGTCCAAACCATAAGGGTAACTGATGCAGAAAAAAAGTTAACTTTGATAACTTTTAGTAAAGTAGCAATTATTTCTTTTTTTCCCCCGAGATTCAAAAAAAAAAATAGTGCTATCAAAATAACCATACTCCCAAATACCATACATTTAGTTGCTTTAGGACATTTAACTAACACGGACTGCTCCAGGGATAAACCTCATAGGCTACAATGCTGCCACTGTGCAAAGCTAAATATAGAACACATCAGGAAGTAGTGCATTAATTAGTACATTGAACATTGAGAGAGAGAGGCACTTTTTCCCAAAGGGCTGAGGGAGTCTGAAACAGAGCAACCAGCCATGTTGTTGATGCTGACTCTCTGGCTTCTTCCAAGACACAGCAGGGCGAGATCCTTGGATCTATTAACTGTGCCTAGTAGCTCCTCTCGTTTGTATTCTTTGTTCTTTTTAGTAACAGAATGTTTTTTCTTACTTTTTTTTAGTAAAAGAAAGTTTGTGGCACATCACAACACCCCCCCCCCACACACACACACACACACACACACACACACACACACAGAACACATCATCACAGGCCCACATTACTTTTAATGTGGGAAACAAAACCTCCACAAATATTCAATCTGAGTGTGTCTTGAAGTACACAGTCACCTTATACTGGCAGGAGCGGATGACTGAACCACGGCACTTTCATTCAGCTACTCTCAGGCGTGATTTTTTTTTTATGTCCATCATGTGGGAACTGCTCCTGGCACAGTCACAGGTACAGTCTCGGAGGTTGGCCTCCGTCCCACGTATTTATACTGAACACGCAATATGACACATGACACTGGTTACACCTCTATATATATAAACAGTATTTAATCATGTCTTTTCTCAGACGTGGCACAACCAAATTCTGTGGCACAACCGTTAAAGCCCTAAGTCACACCAGTGGGAGCCTGCTGATATTTCCTAGCTAGATCTGAAGTGTAATATTCATGGCTTGTCCTAAATTCTGTAATCCAGCTACCCTTTGCATTGGGCAAGCTTCAAACCTTGAACTTTCATTCGACCTTTTGTTGTCAACACAAAACCTAATGCAGCCATCTGGTTAAGCACACAATAATATACCGCAGTAATGCACTATTACTTCAGACTGCACTTTTTCCCATTGTTCCTCTGTAGTTCTGTAGGGGATTTGTTCTGCTTTCACATTGTTCTGTAACAATACGTTGTTGACTGAGAGGAGTTCATCCTGGTGCTGCTGACAGAACTGTGGAATGTTTCCTCAGAACCTCATGGTTGTTGTCTTCTTTCTGAGAAGTGCTTAAGTCTTGACGAATTGCTTCGCGTTACGTGGTTTTGATGGGTGGGACAGGGGATTATTTATGGTTTATTTTGTCCGTAACTTAAACAAAACTGGAGTCGTGTTCATTCCATCGTTTCCAAAAGGTTCATGTGACAAATTGGAAATTCCTTTTGTGTCCCGTGTGCTTTGACTCTGTGTAACTAAGTCCATTGTTTCCACAACCTCGAGAGCAGCGTGCAAGCTTTGCTAGAAACTTGTGAGGATCTGTATGGACTCAATACTGCCTCTAATTCGTACTTTTTTATAGGAGGCACCTTTTTCAGCTTCGTGTTCTCTTGCAGAGTGTTCCTTTGCTAGATCTGACATTGCCTGTTTTCTCTCTCATCCTCAGTGGCACTTGATCCCAAAGCAGGTTGAGTTTCCTTGGCCTCTCAGAGTACTGTAGGTGCCCCATCCCCCAAGCGAAGTTAGCAAGGAGCCAGTCACCTCGCAAAAAGCAGCTTAGCTTGAAAGGCTGCAGGGATTCCCAGTTGGCAAACATTGGATAACTGATTACTAAATCTTATTCTCTGGGCTCACATTGCATTTCTCTTAACATTGGTTTGTCTTCTGAGAGTTTGCGTACCTTCTTGTCTCTTCTCTGATTTGACTTCTGCATCTTTTCTCTTTGGAGAGGTTCTTTACAAGACTCTTCAGGAGTAACGTGGGCATAAGACCATATGTCTGGTCATAATCTGTCCCAGTCACCACTAGGTTAGACTCCTGGATCCTGGAGTCTGTAAAAACCGCATCTATGGGAGTTACTTGTTATACTCAAGGATAAACTCCACATTTATCTTTCTAGACTAGGAATGTCAAACCTGGTTTCTGCAGGGCCTTGTCTTTTGATTTTGGTTCCACCTTAGTTCACAGATGCATAGAGGGTCTTATTATTTAATTAACTGCATAATTGTCCTACAATTAGCCAGACTCTGGGGCGATTTATAGGGACATCCTGTGTAATCAGTTGTCGCCAGCAGCCATATCAATCTGCCACTCGCAACCCGCAACCCACTGAAGCTAAGCAGGTGTGAGCCTGGTCAGTACCTGGATGGGAGACCTCCTGGGAAAAACTAAGGTTGCTGCTGGAAGAGGTGTTAGTGGGGCCAGTAGGGGGCGCTCACCCTGCAGTCTGTGTGGGTCTTAATGCCTCAGTATAGTGACGGGGGATTATTGACACTGATGTAAAAAGGTGCCTTCCTTCAGATGAGATGTAAAACTGAGGTCCTGACTTACAAATTACAAATCATTACAAATCCCAGGGCATTTCTTGAAAAGAATTCAGGTGTTACACCGGTGTCCTGGCCAAATTTCCCCCTGGCCTTTACTTTGGTTATCCTTGCAGCCTGGTGCTGTTTCCTTTCCTGGGTGGTTCTTCGGTGGATGGACAACAGGCTTCCTTGTTCCCTTGTCACACTGCCTGCGTCATTAGATCAGCCTTCAGCCTTTCAACAGCTGAGCTGACAGTCCAGTGTGTTGCATGTTTGGGGTGTCGCTCCATGTGGGATTCAATACTCTATTCCCAAGATGTCGGCATGTTTCAAACTTTCTTCTTAGACCTTTCATAATTAGAGCTAAAGTTAAATCCAGGATCTTTTGTTGATTTTCTTTAACGAAATAGATCTATTAAACAAGTTTTTGCCATTCTCACCAGTTGTCAGCCGTTACATCGCCTGTTTTAAAGATCAGTTCATTTCTTAGAGATTTTTAAGAGGAACGTAATACACTTTAACAAACAAATCGGCAGCGTTGCTTGAGTTAAGATCAGTTAAAATGGGGCATTTATTTTTATCTGTTAGCTTTTTTTTGTACTTGCAAGAAGAAAGAGATTTTTGAAGAAATGAATCTAAAAATCAGCCAGATTTTCACCCCTTTAATTTTCTATAAATAGTCATTCCTGAATTTTCATCAGTAGCAGGAGGCCATTGTATCCGATCGTGGAAGTTCTAAGCTAAGAAGACACAGAGGAGTTGACTAGTTACTCGATCTGTTTCTAAACACAATTCTATCTGTTTTTGTTTGCCTCCTATCAGGGCGATGTACAAGCACGGTTCCCCCATTGAGCAGCCGGGCAGCAGCAGCTGTTCCTTGCCAGCTCTCTCCGACTACCAGCCAGCCTCCGTCACAGTGAAGCTGGACCACGAAGTCGACATCAAGCCTCCTCCGGACCTGACCATCCTCTCCACCAGGATCGAGGGCGACCAGGAGGACGAGGACATCGTGTCCGTCCGGGGGTTCGACGGCTCCATTTCCTCTTGCCCTTCTTCCGTTAACCTGCCCATGTCCCCCTCCCCCATCCCCATCCGAAGGGACATCTACTCCAGGCCCGAGAGCCTGAGGCACCTGGCGGGGTATGAGCAGGAGACGCTGCAGCTGTCCAAGGAGGAGCACGAGCTTGTCATGGACAACCAGAGGAAGATGGGCCTGTACATGGAGGAGAAGCGAGAGGGACTGAAGAGGAAACAGCAGCTGGAGGAAGAGCTGCTCCGGGCGAAAATCAAGGTGGAGAAGCTGAAGGCGGCAAGACTGAGGCACGGCCTCCCCATCCCACATGTGTGAGCCTTCCTCGTCTCCGGATCGGCCTCGGGAATTCACCTTTTGTTCGGGAACGCTGTCTGGAAGGAAGACGCCACGTGGCCCGCCGAACCCTTCTAGAAATGATTGTCCAAGGACAGTGGCTTAGAAGACTGTGAAAATGGTTCCATTAGTGTTATAAGTACCGGACAGTCCAAAGATCTGGATTAGCATCTCCGCCATTTTGTGACTGATCGCTGTCTATACATATGGTTACTTTGGCCAAGCTACAGGCATGGTGTAGTTCACAAAGGATTTAGGCCAAAGTGTGTATATATGCAGTATATATGGCTAGTTATAGTTGTTTTGGTTTCATAACTAGGAGACTGAATTAAACTATTAGAAAAAGATTTTGATCTTAAGTTGCATGTGCAATGTGTTCCAGAATAAAAAAGCTTCAGTCCTTATTTTCTTAGCCTGGGCTAATAAAAGAACTGGTGGCTCAGTTTTTATTTTGTAGAATGCCTTTTCAAGACAAGCACAATCCCTCACTTACACAAAAACTGCATGGATGAATGCTATGTTATGTTTTGGACAGATAACAGCCTCAGTATTTGGGTTGTTAAATTAGAAATGCTTCCCAGAAAGCCCCGTTATCTTTTAAGTTAATTAAGAAACATACTTTGAATTGGAAGACTTAAAAGATCGTCAGTTAAATGATGTGAACCAGAGACTTCCATACGAGAGTACCCATCATCCGTGGGAGAAACAGCAAGACCTTTGTCTGTAGTACATTTTTATAAAACTGTGCAAATACGGTATGCATTTTAAAACTATTACAAAAATAAAGAGGGGATTGAATTTTTTTAGAAATGCATTTTTAAATTGTGGTTTCAGTTCATATTTGGGAAGTGACTCGGACAGCCAGCTTGTTTTTAAATAGAGTAATGACTGCCCTACTCAAATTACATCTTAGGAAGGCCTGTTACATGATGGTTCTGCTGTATTTCCATAGGGATTGCTCTGGGATCACTGTGGATTAAACTTGGCGTTCGGCTTTTCACTGCTGCTGTACTTGGCAGTCCTTGGATTTACCATTGAGCTTTTTCAGTACATACTAAATAAAAGCTTTGCAATCCTTTTTGGAAGGAAGGAAATATTTCCACCTGTTACAATCATATCAGGCATCAAAAGAAATCCACTGCATTTTTGTTTTTAGAAAACTCGGGTGGATTTTGGATCTTGATTAAATGTTTTTGGTGTTGTTTTGTTTTTTAATTGATCATTCTTTACTGACCCAAATACTTTGACTTTGATTGTTACAGAAGTACTAGTTCACCTAGTTAGTGAGGGTGTTAATTGTGCACAGGTGATGAGGTGATTCGACCTGTAGATTGTCAAGATGGTGCAAATTGAGAAAAAAAAAAGGTATGCTCCTTTTATCAAGAATGCCACACATTGGTGCCATTGTTGCTTTGGAAGTTGGACTAAGTCAGCACGTTGTCGATTGCCATCCGGGGTTGTTCAGTCAGCGATTTCTAACCTGGCAAGATGTTGTGGCCAAACAGTTGATTGATGATAGGCCACAGTCTAGGAGATCATCAGTCAACAGCTGGCCGGGATGAATGTTGAGGTCTGGATTGGAGTGACAGGTCTGTACAGAACTGCTCTTGTATTTCTGGTAAATGGACTGATGTGCTCCATTAGTCAAGTACTACATAGTAGGACACTTTCTGCTCTTCCTGAAGTTGACCCTATTGCAGCAGGACAGCACACATCCTTGAGCTGCTCATGCAACTCCTGCGTGATAAGAACGTGAAATTGGAGACCTAGAGGTCAGAATTGAGCCCCTTAATTATTTTCCGAATGAGCTGAGCTGGTGTGTGTCTTGGAGGGCTCCGAGACCAGTGAACATGCTCGTGCCTGCCATGGTTCTACGAGGTGGGGATGAAGCCCAACAAGACGTCGCCTGCAATCTGGTGCGAAGTACACACTGCAGGTGCACAGCTTGTGTCGCTTCCACGCTCACTTCTGCCACACTTTCCACCCTGTTGATTAGTGACCAGCGTTAATCAACTTAATGAGTTTACCTATGTCATGTGTGTTCAATAAAATTGTAACCTTTGTTACAGAAAGATGTACTGGTAGGTCTATTGGCTTCTGGGAAGACTGGCTCTGGTGTGTGTGTTTGTGTCTGTGTGTCTGCCCTGTGATGGGCCTTGTGTTCGTTGCTTTCCTGGACATCGTATTGGATAAAGAGGTTCATACATATATGGACTAATTAGGTATTTAATTTAATTATAAAAATGTATTTTATATGTACATACCATTGTAGAATTGGCAGTATTTCACTCTTTCAAGCCATTTTAGTATATGCGCGAGTTGTTTTAATAGAGATGGATTTCTTAACTGCAGTGAAGCAATAGATTCGAGTAGATGATCGAAAATTCAGAATGGTTACATTTCACAATAGGAAATCCTGAGCTTTGTTTTCCATGTGGTGTGACTGAACATGTAGTGACAGATAATATTTACAAGGATGTGCATTCTAATCAATGGATGAAACGGCACAAATATGTGGATATATAAGTTTTTGGGTGCGCCGTGGTTTGACTCCCATCAATTCAGTCAATGCTGTGTGCTTTTAGAATCGCAATTAAAGACAGAGCGGGGTAGATTCGTTGATTGATTTAGTAATCGCCAAAAAAGCAGCCTTTGTGACAGCTGTAGAACCTTCCTACCATGATTGCGAATGTCTTCACTCTGCAGATGTCCCAGGATAATGATATCAGGACTGTCATCTGCCTCCTCGGGTATTGGCATAAACGGTTAATAGGTTTATTTGCTTGTGGGAGATGTCAAAAGAGCTTGTTTGGTTAGGCCTTTGACAGTTTTAAACCTGATGTCGACTGAAATGAGGCACAAAGGTTCCCTGTTTCATCTTTAACGTGCTGGAGCAAAAGATGGCAAAATAAAATGCAATTACTGTGCAACTTTTCCCCATTCCCCAGTTTTCAGGAAAATGTCATACCCTACTGTTTTGCAACCTCAGTATGTTGAACAGAATTTAACAGATGAGGATCATTTGTTTCCTCTGATATTAGTTAATGTACTGTATACATTTTCAGCATGCCAACAATTCATTTCTAGTAACTGGGATAAGCCATATACAGTAGTACGTTTCTGAAAGTATTAATTTAGCAGTATGGAAATAAGCTATATTCACCAAGTTGCTAAAGAAAAGTATCAGGCTGCAGAAAATTGTTTGCCTAATTTTTTTTCTTTCAAACTACCTCTAGTGGCCGATCACTAGAACAGCATCGATACACAAGAGGTGAACCACTATTTTTATTTTTGAAATTACAGGATTCTATGAAAAATGTTATGTACTGTATGAACAGAAAGTGAAAATTGTGTTGCCAACTCAGTCTAATGTCTAGGAATAAGAGAGTAAAGCTTTGATCTTTTTATCTATGTTATGAATTTATCCAAAAGCATTAGGACTGTTTGTAACATCAATTACACCCCTTTTCAGTATACTTTATATGTCTTTTATAAGCATAGGTAGGATTCTGATATGACCATTCTGGTCATTGTTAATGATTTATATTGAAATGTATTTTGTTGTCATTGAAAACAAAAAGAAAAGTGTATTTTTATTAGCAGTCTTTCCTTTCTGCTATCCATCAGTCAGTTCTAATTACAAATGAACATAGTTGATTGATCTTATTTTCAATCTAATACTGTTGTAGGGCTCTGACTAAATGTGAATCGTCTAGGTAAAAGGCTTCATGATATTCACATACTGTAGTACTTTATACACTTGGCGAGTTTAAATAAGGCAATCCCAGTGCATTTCCGTGACAACTTGTTTTGGGAACAAAATAGACTCGGATTAAATGTCATCATCAAACCTAGATCATAGATTACTGTACGGATAATGGATTTCTTTTGGATAGGAATTCTTGGTTAGAGGGATGGCTGAGGTTTTGTTTTTAATCAGAGTATTAATGTGCTTTCATTTCTGTGCCACAATCTTCTAAGCACTATAGGCAGCAGATTTAATGAAGAGTGAACCTAAGAAGGTTTATTTTTTAAATTTTATCGGCTTCAACAACATGACTGAGTAGATTGCTCCATAGACCCACAACCCTTCTGATAAGTAATGCTCTGCCCTGACTGGAGGACCTCATCCAGCTGCCTGTTGAAGGTTAATGTTAATGGTTAATGTTTAATGGTTCCACATACCCACAACACTTTGGGTAAAAAGATCCTACACTACACACTCAACAGAAGTACAAAAATCTAGTGGTTTTTAAGCAGAATACTTCAACTCCTCTGGTTTGACTGACCACATCTCCCATGACTGCTGCTGCCTCAAAATGTGGCTCTTGTTCACAGTCACAGGCGGAGTCACCTGGTTTCTATCCTAAAGCTTTCAGGACTTAGTTGGCTTGCGGTTGCACCGATACACTGTCTGAATATTCAGCATACTCAGAGGAATCCATGTTCTAGCAAATGATGATCTTTCAAGTTGTATTAACGTGCTGCCGAGATTTGCCTTTATGTCACTCAGCACTCAAGCCACTTACTTCCTCGACAAGTGACAGCAGACCTAAAGATGGAGTTTTAAAAAGATACATTTTCCCTTATTTCTGTGGTTATGTACCTAGCAGAAACCCCTCAGGACGGTCATTCTCTCACAGGTGACAGGCTGAAGTGTCCCATGCTGAGATGCTTCGAGGAAAAGTGACGGGTTGAGTTCTTTCTGTTTGGCAGATTCCCGGCCCCTCCTTTCGGTGTCGATTCAGCCGACGCCGGCCCCTCGCCGGGCAAAGCCAGACCCGTCCCCGGGAGGGCAGGGCAGCCCGGACAGCGCCGCCAGGTACTTCAGCGTGGTGTGGTGTAAAGCGTCCAAGAAGAAACACAAGAGGTGGGAGGGGGACGCCGTGCTGGTGGCCAGAGGGAGGAGCGTGGTGCTGAAGGACCTGGAAGGCAAAGACATCGGGAGAGGTGAGGGTCAGCCCACCCCCACCGAGCCGCCCTGGCCTGGGGTCTTGAGAGCTGCCGGGTTGCTCACTGGCGCCCCCCGGAGGAAAGCCCTGGCTCTGCACTCGGATTTCACATTCCGGTCAAAAATGTGATGACACATACTCCTGTGCCTCAGTGTACAAACGCCCGGTTTCAGAATGTTTCTCCGTAAGGAAGTGTGCGTTTTCCTACCGGTTTCTCGCAGTTCTGAGAAAGTTTAGCTACAGTGGAGGCTGTACCCTTCATCGACAAAACGAAAATGCCTCGCTGACCTCCCACAGCCCCATTCCTCTGTGCACCTGCCTTCTTAGAACTTGTACAAAATGTTTACATTATCTGTTTATCTTGTTAACTGCTATACTTGGGTAAACAGGGTAATTATCATAAACAGGCAGCAATATTCTTTCTTTGACGACCAGTTTTCAAGAACAGATTGTAAATTGAGGGATGGGTGTATTAATATTTATTTTACTGTCTGATATGTTAAAATAATCCGTGGAATCATGAACAGTTGAGGTGAAAGTGTACCACAAGCTGAAAAGGTTCGGGAAGCCCAGATAAAGCTTCTGTGGGTATTTGCACTTTTTATAGTTTCTTTTTTATTTTAACATGAGTTACTCATGAAAACAGTTGTAGATAAATGTATTTATTATTCTTCCTTTAATCACCTTCATTGCAACTCAGGACATATTGTACACCTGCGTCTGTCTGGAGGGACTGCACAATGAAACAATTTTGCTTACAATACTTCCTGAAAGAATCTTTATTCTATTAGAATGGGAAAGAGGCTAGTACTTTAAAGTGTTTGTTGGACAATGACAACGAGTTTTTTAAGGGACACTGTGACTCGGGAAGTAGGCTTCTTTGTGTATTGAGAGCAGTAGGTTATCCTTTCTGGGCAGCAGTGAGGAGAGCTCTGGAAGTGTAACTGGAAGGTTGTGGGATCATTCCCAGGTGGGACACTGCTGTTGTACCCTTGATCCAGGTCCGCCACCCGAACCGCCCCAGGAAAATCCCCTGCCGTAGAAGTTCTTTTGGATAAAAATGCCAACCCGATAAATTCCTAATAATCTACAGTTCAGGATGCAACACTAGTGCATTAACTGTATAGCGCCAGCTGGCTCTCCCCTGGGATCGGGATCAGTTTGGGAAGGTGTAACGGGCTGCTGTCCTCGGCAGGCACTGGCTACAAGTCCTCCGAACTGGAGAGCCTGGCCGAAGGGCAGTCGCTGATGGTCGGCGGGAAAGAGATCGAAGTGATGGGCGCCGTCTCCGCGGAGGACTTCAGCAGTGGCCGCTGCTTCCACGAGGGCCCTGCGGAAGCCGCCGCCGCGCCCCCTGTCCCTGCGCGCAGGCCGGCCCAGAAGCCCTTCGCCGGGCCCGCGCGGAAGAGCGGCTCGGGGGCGCTCCAGCGAGCCCCGGAGACTGAAGCAGGGTGCAGGCCCCGCCACGACCCTCTCGCCCCAGGTACCCCAAGCCCCTACCGTCATCAGCGCCCAAACACCTCCCAACAGACAGTGCCGTCAACGGGATCACTTTTTGCTCCTAAATAAAAAACCTACTCAAATTTCTAGGATGCTGGAAGCAGTACAGACGCCTTCTTACTACATCTTGCTACAGTCTTCATTTTCTCAAATATACCTTCAGGCACCCTGATGTTATTAAGACCCTGCTGCTGCAGTAACTAAATCCCTCCATTTTGTTCCACTGGAATGCAGCATGGATATGTACCTCTGCAATGAAATCTCTTAGCAGATTGTATCAGTGCACACTGGGTTATTCCCGTTTTTTTACACTTGGTATACAGCAAGCAGCTGCCACTTGTCTTGATCTGTATGTAGATGCATACAGTGCCTATAAAAGGTCTACACACCCCTACCAAAGTAACACATTTTGTGGCCTAACAACATGAAATCGAGACACACATGCAGGACTGAGTCAGCATGTGTTTTTTTCGGGGGGCTTTTATGCTTTTGCTACATTTTTGCTTTCCGTCATGGTAATCAGTGCATTGTTTGAGCTCCCAGGAGACTGTACTGGGGTGTGAATGGGAGAGAGGGTGAGGAGGGGAAGGACAGGATCCTTCACCGGTGACAGGCCATGACGAGCAGGTGGAATAGACGAGGGGTGTGTGGAACGACTGTTAAACCACAAACTAGCCGCAGATACTGGTCTGTCCCTGACACGTGTGCCACAGTGCAGAAACGGCCGCTGACTTTCCAGCTTGGACTGCCCAGTGCCCTTTGTGTCCGTGCTCAGGAGCTCTGGTCATGCCTCGGCCCACTCTGAACCACCAGTGGCTGTTCAACAAGGCTGGTCTACAGGTGGTGGACGTTGTTGTGGATCCTTACCTCACTGCCCACCTCAGGCCTCATCAGAGAGAGGGCGTCGTCTTCCTGTACGAGTGTGTCATGGGAATGAGGTATGCACTGCGTCCGAAGAGACAGTATACACTGGAGCTGACTGGTTTATGCATATCTGTTACTGGCGCAGCATAGCCCTGGCAGATGTAGATCTCGAACAGGGCAAGTTACCAGAATCCTGTGTTTTGCATTAGCCTGCTGTTGCTGTATGTCTTACTGTCCTTTTCATGAAGTCTACTTTGGTACAAATGTAGGAGTCACAGTCTTGCTGACTGCACTGCTGCTGCAAAAGAAGTAAATGAAATTAAAATACTTTTTAGAGCTGGTAATTAGATAGGTAGATACTTTATTGATCCCGTGAGGGAAATTGCAGTGCAACAGCAGCTTAACACAGACAACACAGCCACAGTGTAACAAATTATATAATAATAGTACAATAGATACAATACAATACAAGAGTTACTCACAGTCCGGACACACAAAGAACAGACTAGAACAGAACAGTACACAGAAAAATCATATCACACATATGAATATAAATATAGATGTCAGTATAGATATAGATATAAATATAGATGTAAATGTTTTGCACAGGTCCCTGGCATATATTGCACAAAATATGGTTGTAAACGGGAAAAGAAAAAGAAAGAGAACAGATGTAGCAGTAGATGTGTAGATGCGTTCAGTCCAGAAACAGGTCACTGTCAGTGTATTAATGTATTAATGAGTATCTATAACATTACTACTAGATAATATGTTCTAATCATGTACAACCGCGAGTCACTTTTGGTAGCTGCCATAAGTCATTGTTATTAAAAGAAAATCTACGCTAGAGCTTATGTACCTACAACCACAGGAAAGCCATTGGAACCGTTAATATCATCAAGAGCTTATTTGCCCAATATTCCTTTGGAGAGCCCGTTCTGGTGGTGTTGGGCAGTCAGCCCATCTAGCCTGTTCAGTAGCTAGTTGGTCAAAGAATTTCATCCAGCTGTTTCCTGAGGGTAGCCGGGGTCTCGCCTTCCACCGCATATTTCACAGCCCTCTGGGTAAAGCAGCGCCGCCTGTTCGCGGTCTTAAACGCACGCCCGCGCTGTTCCCACTGGCGTTTCCAGGGCGGCCGGCCGGCACGGCGCCATCCTGGCCGACGAGATGGGCCTGGGGAAGACCCTGCAGTGCGTCGCCCTGTTGTGGACCCTGCTGCGCCAGGGGCCCTACGGCGGCAGAGCCGTCCTCCGGCGGGCGCTGGTGGTCACTCCCGGCAGCCTGGTGCGCAACTGGGGCGCGGAATTCCAGAAGTGGCTGGGCGGGCAGCGGATCGGCGTGTTCGCCGTGGACCAGGTGGCTGGCGCTCCGACGACGGAGGGGGAAGGGGAGAGGGACAGAAAGGCATCTGTCAGGGTCCGACCAGAAATTGCGGAGTTTGTTCTGTATCCAGAGTACATGTGAGGCGAGAGGCCTGAAAAACTAGATTTTCTTTTTTTTCCCTGTTAAAACTCCTCAGCTTCAGAGCGTTTGCCTAATTTTCCGGTTGATATCCCTGGGAGGGTAAAAGTTAGCCCATTTGTTAGTGTTTTCACGACTGATGAAGATACTGAATTCAAATCCTTATATGTTATTTCATCGATCAGTTCATTAATTTAACTTTGTTTACCTGCAGGACATCCTGATTAATACTTAGACAGTAGGTGCAGTAACTACACTAACTCAGAAGGTGTCTTTTTTTTTCTTATTCCTGTCGTGTTAAGGCCTGCATGACTGCCTGGACACCTGCTGTAGCCTCAGTTAAAGTTGTCCAGATATGTAGTAATACAGTCTTGTAGCACAGAGAGCTTAAAAAGTATTTTAATTTTTGTTATACTTGCATAAAACATATAGACGTTCTGCAGTTTTGAGACGGAATGATTAAAGCTGTGGTGTTTTGAAGTGGTACAGTATAGAAATGTGACATTGTTCCATGTGTCTGTGTGTGTCATTGAAAGGATCACAAAGTCGAAGAGTTTGTCAACTCTCAGATCTACGCTGTGCTCATTATCAGCTATGAGATGCTGCTTCGCTCCGTGGAGCAGATTCAGAGGGTGGAGTTCGGCCTCATCATCTGTGATGAGGGGCACCGCCTGAAAAACAGCAGCATCAAGACCTCCTCGGCACTCAGCAGCCTGTCCTGTGAAAGAAGGATCATTCTCACAGGTAAACAGTCTGTCCTTAGAAAAGAGCTGTTGAGAAGGATCTCCTGCAGGGGCTAAAGATTCTTAGACAGCTTGAGCAAATAATGACAGATAAGTAAATCACAGTATTTTACCTTACTTTACTTTTTACTAAGTTGCTCGTAAAATATTCCAGTCATGGTGTATAAAGATATGTTACTCGTGGTCTACAGTACTTTTGGTGTACTGTATCTTGTGCTTATTTGGTGCTGAGGCCCAGCTCCTGACACCTCCTTGTGAATTGAAAAATTAAACACGCGTGTTTGCAATTTTAAAAAAAATTCATTTTAAACGAGGTCACGGTTTTATTCCGTTGGCTACTCAACTTAATGAGATCGGCACAAAACATTTTGTCAGTATGGTTACACTTGGCAGATCAAACAGATTCTGAAACCCTTCAATCAGAAATGTTTAAAAAGATAGAGTAGACCTAATGACATGACATTATAGTGTATTACTAAAAAATTGTTGTGTAAGTTACCGTATTAGAATGTTATCGACAGTGATGGCATGCTCATGTCTGCTATCTCTGTTGCCCTCCTGTGTCTACGTTCCTGGCCACATGGTTTAAACAGATCTGTCTGTCTATTTTTATGTGTTTTATTAAAAGTAAAATAATGTAGTCGAAACTTTATTTATGCCCTGTCTAAATAACAATATGAAATACATCCCTGAGACAAGACCACCTATTTAGAGGAATCCGTGGTAACAGTGACCTACTATTTAACGTCGTGATGTTCTTTGTTTTCCAAGTTTTTGAATTGTCAAGTTGTCTGCTCCTCTGCCGGCTGTGGCAACTGTGAACCTTTGACCTGAAAAATGAAACCAGTCTGAGAGAAACGTCTCTCCCTCCACCCACAGGCACTCCTGTGCAGAATGACCTCCAGGAATTCCACGCAATCATAGAGTTTGTGAATCCTGGAATCCTGGGCTCTTCCTCCGCATACAGGAAGGTGTACGAGGAGCCCATTGTCAAGTCCCGGCAGCCATCTTCTACAGGGGTATGGGTTTCCTCCTGTTCTTGCTCTTCCAGACCGGAAAAGTGATCTGTCCTAAGATAGATATAGACATTATCTATAATATAAGATGTAAGACATTAGATATAGCTAAAAATGTGCATACCATTCTTGGCAATTCTTTTAAACAGCAATTAGAGACATTAACTAGGTGGTTGGAGGTGAAATATCGAAGCAATGAATGCTACTGTACATTCTGTAAAAACTGTGACGTGCAGCAGGGAATTATGGTTGTGAGGTTTATATGTCAGCGGCTACTGTATATCACTCTGTATATACTACTGTATATCTGAAGCTCAGCCAGTGTGAGCCTGGTTAGTACTTGGATGGGAGACCTCCTGGGAAAGCTAAGTTTGCTGCTGGAAGAGGTGTTGGTGTGGCCAGTAGGGTGTGCTCACCCTGCAGTCCATGTGGATCCTTATTCCCCAATACAGAGATGGGAACACTATACTGTGAGAAAGGTGCCGGCCTTATATATATATATCATATAATATATATTATATATCAAATAAGATGTAATACTGGATCCTGACTCTCCATGGTTATTAAAAATTCCAGGGCGTTTCTCAATGTGTAGAGGTGTTACCCCAGTCTCCTGGCCAAATTTCCCCCATGGGCCTTTACCAATCATGCCCTCCTAATAATCCCCATCTATGAACTGGCTTCATCACTGTTGTCCTCCCCACTGAGAGCTGATGTGTGGGGAGCGTTGTTGTGCACTATGGCTGCTGGCACATCATCCAGGTGGGGGCTGCACACTGGTGGTGTTGGAGGGGATCCCCGTTACCTATGAAGCGCTTTGAGTGGAGTGGCCAGAAAAGCACTATACAAGTGTAAGGATTCTTATTATAATCAGGTCCTTTTTCTGTCTACCACATTTTGTTCAATTTTAAATTCTGTTAAAATGACGAGGAATGTCTTCCTGAGGTGTCTTACCCTCACGTTCTCATCCCTCAAACTCACTGCTGTGAGATGTCAGCTGTGAGAAGTGTTTCCAGTTCTTTTTGTCCTGGAGCAGACACGATGCGGATTGCAGCCCATTCAGGAATGTCGGCATACTGTACCACTGCTTACGAGCATGCTCGATAGGACGCACAATAAATCAGGCGTGAAACAGCTTGTCGGGACTCGTGACATGAACCCCCAGGGCCCTGGGCGACTGCATGATGGTGTTTCCAATCGGCAGGAGGAGAAGCGCCTGGGTGCAGAGAGGGCGGCAGAGCTGGCTCGCCTGACTGGGCTTTTCATCCTGCGCAGGACCCAGGAGATCATCAACAGCTACCTGCCCCCCAAACTGGAGTGGATAGTGTTCTGCCAGCCCACACCCCTCCAGCTCGAGGTCTACCGCAACATCCTCAGCTGCCGCCTGGTCAGGTCCTGCCTGCAGGGGGCGCTGGAGAACAGCCCTCACTTGGTCTGCATTGGAGCACTGAAGAAACTCTGCAACCACCCGGGCCTCCTGTACGCCACTATCAGGGTGAGCCAGCCAGAGACGTGGCTGTGCAAAAAAAGCATGTCCCCATGTGTGATTTCCAATTTCTTGGTTCTGTCTTGGTCGCAAAGACATAGGTTTCTTGTTATTTTTTTCATGCGCACATGAAGTAAAGAGATCTTCCATTTACACGCTGACATGATTTCTTGGCATCCTGAAAAGCATATGCATTACTTTATGAGCTTTGTAAATACACGCCCCTTCATCTGGGAGCTGTTTTTGCCAGTCCGTGGGCAAATGCAGATTTTATAGAGGTGGTATTTGTAGACAACAGTTCATGCAAAACAGAAATAATAACATCAAACAATTAATCAGAAATTAAAGAAAATTGTTCATGTAAATCAAACAACACATTATTTACCCTTCTTATAAAGGGAGTACACATGGTTATTCTGTTTTCTGTAACGTTTTGTCACACTCTATTTATCATGTGCAAGAATGCTCATCATTCTGCTTTCGTGAAACACCTTTTAGCAGATGAACTGTCAGCCATGTGCATTTCTTGATCCATAATCTTGTAATGTTGTCATGATTATTATTTTTGGTAGAATTGAGTCATTGTTTTAGAATATGAATTAAGTGATTATGCCTTCTTTTTAATGCCATATTAGGTGCCTTGATCGTATTTCTCCTGTCTCTTTTAACTGAACTCAGAGAAAACAATATCATTTGCTTAATGCAACAAAATACGTTGTATACCTTTAGTACAGGGTAAAAATGCAGGATAATCATTTTGTCCCTTGTTTGCTGCAATTTAATAAAAATGTTTTTTCCTTTGACCTGTAAGCCGAGCTTTAGATGTACAGTACGTTTGTCTTGCGTTGGTCCCCCTTTGTCAGATGGGGTGCTGAATGACGTGGCTGTGTTTTAACAGGAAAGAGAAGACAGGGCCAGGAGTGACTGCGCTGATGCAGCCGAGAGCTCTCTGTACGAAGGCTTGTCTGGGCTCTTCCCTGAGGGGTACTCTTCAGAGGGGCTTGACGCGTCGGATTCAGGAAAGCTGATGGTGCTCACAGACCTGCTTGCAGCGATCCGCCAGCTGAGTCCCGCCGACAGGTGCTTACTGTGACCGAGTCTCTAGCAGTAATTACAGCTCATACTCGTTAGCGCAGGCCGGTGGTCCTTTAAATCATCCTCCGCGAGCCGTCTAGCAGGCTGAACAAGTCTGCGTGGATTACAGAGGAGACAGGCTGGTAGAGAACCACACTCACTGCGTGTGAGTTCATGATAAAGTGAGGAGTTAGATGGAATCGGTTTCATGGACATCAAGGGAATCCAGATAAACAGGCACGCTCTGAGAAACAGAACCCTCGTTCCTCAAAGTGACAGAACTCTTTCAAAACAGTTTCTGTTTTATTCCATTGTTTAGCTTTCAGTCCTCTGCTTAGATTAGCCTGCGACAGAAAATTGATGCTTTGTAAAATGAAAGAAGCAAACACAATTAAAGCAGCCAGCTTAAGTTGCAGAGATTCCGAAGATGTGCTGTACCCTTAGTGTCTGACCTTTGAACGCAGAAATCATCTTCCTTTTAGAAATCGGATTTTCTTTTTATAGGATAGAAACAGGATAGGATTTTATTTGCTTCTCCTTCCACACAAGCAGTCAGATCGGGGTGCGCCGGTCGTCTGCAGGTGGAGCTGATCGCTTTTTCTCGCACCTGCTTCCAGAGTTGTGCTCGTGTCCAATTACACCCAGACTCTGGACATGCTGCAGGACCTGTGCCGGCGCTGTGGGTACAGGTCCACGCGGCTGGACGGGCAGACCCCGGTCTCGCAGCGGCAGAAGATCGTGGACGTCTTCAACAGCAGATACTCCTCCGACTTTGTGTTCCTGCTGAGCTCCAAGGCAGGGGGCGTGGGGCTGAACTTAGTGGGAGCCTCGCACCTCGTTCTCTACGACGTTGACTGGAACCCAGCCAACGACATCCAGGTACAGCCACTGCAGGAAGCAAAGGAGCTCATTCAAGATGGCGCCTTGCTAGTGGCAGCCTGTTACAGCAGCTCTGTGTCTTTTTGTTGTCTTTCGTTTTCTGTTCAGTTAGTTAGGGTTAGTGAGTTAAGTGTTTTTCTTCTTGTCTTTGGCGGCGATTAGATTTGCGATCACAACACGGTGGAATACTAGGGAGCTGAGATACTTCTTCTTGCTCTGCAGTTTCCCTCACGGGATCAATAAAGTATATTACTGTGTGTAACTTTAATGTCCATCCAGAAGGGTTAGAAAATGGTCTTGGACATGACCATCATAAAACTCCAAAAGCACACCACATTCAACATAAAATAGATTCAAGTTAAAAACAATAAATAGTCCCAGCTGTGCAACAATACTTATTCACACACCTTGCCCTGACCATATTACAGTATCATTGCACTAATCCGATAGCTTCATATGGGAAACAGTCACTTGGCTGTGTTTAATGCACCAAGTGCACAGGGCACGATTTCTTGTACGCATTGTTCTTGGGCATAAGCATTTTAAACCGCCTCACTAAAGGTAGTAGTTTGTAGAGCATTGTGAGAAACGCTATAGTCAGGAGTGGTTAATAAGGACATTCTTCTTTTCCTCCTGAGTCATGTTAGGTGTTTCTGGGGGGATTCATTCAGTACTGAATTAGGTTTTGTTCTTTCTTGATATCTGGTGCCAGAACGCAGGTGAAAAATATTGATATCCTACATGGCCCGTGTTTAACTGGGAGCTTTTAGCACACATTTTTATTTGAATTACTCCCGTTAGCTGGATTTGAGGGTAGGATGCATACAGTAGGAATGTGTGTTTGGTCATGATTTATACTGTGCAGGACTGAGAGTGATGGTGAGTTAGTTTCTTAGCACCAAGAAACAAATGTTTCCTTGTGAGATCTGCAAGAAGGTGTTACCTTGGCAACAAGGAGATGAGACGGTGCAGCACTTTTGCACAAAGTAAAGCCATAATTAGGGCACGTGGAAAAATGTATTTTTGTAGGTATTCATACCTAGGAAATAACAGTATCTTTTCCCCAGGTTTCTCCAAAGTTCAGGCATGAAAGCTGTATTGAAAAAACTGAACAGCAGGTGGCGGTATTGGGTTGATTTGCTGCAGTGCTGCAGTGTGAGCCAAGCAGGTTCTGCATATTTCGAGTTAAAAATCATCTAGTATCTGCTTGCTTCAAAAATACAAAAAGACTAAGTTCCCCCTGTAGAAGTATTTTGAATGTTCATTTGGTCGTCATCACATTCCTGCTTTTCAGTGTATCTATGTTGTTACTGGAAGAGGTTAATACACAAAGTGAAAACTTATCTTGCATATCATGTGCTACCTTACTCTTCTACAATCCATTCTAAAGGCTAGGAGTCACTGTGAAGTGCTTTAGTTCTTGTGTTTGGACGTACAAATATAAATCATATTTTTTAAGATAGGTAAATGTCTGTAGATGTGAAGTAGAAGTGTGTATTTTCAATAATATGTTTTTTTTTTCCATTTACGAATGAAGGTTCTTACAACTTGGTATGATTAACAGTGGCCTCAAAGGACATTGTGATGTTAGTCGCTGAGTATCTCAGTGAACTACAGTTTGCTGGTCAAACTCTTAAGTGGTAAGCAGCCTTTCAGCCTACGCCCTGACTAGATTATTTTGCTCTCCCATCCTGACACCTCCCTGACACTACAGGTGGGATTCCAGTCACATGCTTCGCTAGGCTGTTGGGTGATATGTGTGTGCTCTGTGTCCCTAGGCCATGGCCAGGGTGTGGAGAGATGGTCAGAAGAGAACTGTTCACATCTACCGTTTCCTCACCACAGGTTAGTCTCACCTGCCCCTTTGCCTGCTGCAAAGCAACACCTTTCACCAGAATGTGTAATGCACGGTCCTGCGTAAGGACTTTCATTGTAAATGAAATGAAAGTTCACAAATGCCAAAATCAAGTAATTGTACATTTTCCATTTTCAGACACAAAGTAAATGAACTGCACTTCAGTATCTGAGTGTTGAGTTGAAAACTACACTTTGAGATTCATACACGGATGTTTAAGGCAGTGTTTCTTACCTTGCAGGATTATATTGATCGCCCTTTGATGTCATTTTCTTAAAGCAGAAGTTCTTGCAACTTCTTTACCTGTTTTGATGCTGGATTGCAACCATTACACTGTTGTGTATTTTCGAGAAAACAGAATCATAATTGGTTCTGCTCCTGGATTATGTACCTCTCTTTTGAAATTATTTCCAGTGATTCATACCATATATTGGAAATTAATCATTTGATTTGGCTTGTAGGAACCATTGAAATATCAGATTCACCAAAAGGAACATTGTTAGTATGATTAAGTATGTTCAGAATAATGGATTAAAAGGAAAAATATTTTCTCCTTTTCAAACCATCTGAACTGATTCGCTGCATTTTATCTGAAAATGTAAATGGTTTAAGATGTCAACAAAGTGTAGTGTATACCATTAAAAAATCCAGTTTCATGATTTATATGAAAGCATAAAAAGTTTTTTTCTTATATGGGAAAAAAAATTGAATGTTTATTGTAGTGCACATTGAGAGCTTACATTTATTTCGGAGGCCCACAAGAAATGGTGACCTTATTTCACTTTCTCCCACTCAAGAATTGACTGAGTCAGCAGTGGGAGTTCAGATGTATACAGTACAATTGCCAAAGCATTCGTTGCCAAAGCATTCATTTCTTGCTGGGAGTTGTTCATACACTTATAGCAGTAAACTGGCTTAATCACCAAAGTGTGTGATCTTGAGTGTACGTGAGTGCGTATCATTAGCAATAAACAAGCTAAATTGTATGTGAATTGTTGCTAAGGAACATAATTAGCAATAATATTCTCTGTGTATTTAAAATAGCTTTAATTTTTCTGCTGCAGCCTTCTGTGAATATTGACATCACCTGTTTTTTGTAATGGATGGCAGGATGTGTCAAGTGGCTTCAGAATGTCACATGTTGCATTAAATCATTGGCATCCTAAAAGAGAATCAGGAGATTTGCGGTGTTCATTCTCTTCCAGACTGCAAAGTGTTGACTGTGTGAAATTTGCTTGTTGGGGCTGATTCCTGTTTATTGCACTTCTCCGTAATTTGAAATTGTTCCAAAGCTTGCTGTTTTCCTATTCACAGTATGACTGTTGGAATCACATTCAGCTTTATTAACTTAGTGCTGCTCTTCAGAACATTTAGTTATGAAAATCTACATATAGGCTGTTTTGGGCAATTTGTACAATTTCCCATATCTGAGTTGAGTTGAAACTAGGCTTTGAGATTAATACACGGATGGTTAAGACAGTGTTTCTCACATTGCAGGATTATATTGATGGACCCTTGAGGTCATTTTATTAAAGCAGAAGTTGTTGCAGCTTCTGTACCTGTGCGGTGAGTTTTAACACTGGATCACAGCCATCTTAGTTGAGATGAAAATAATTTTGGACGTTTGGAGTAGCGCGTATTGAGAGCTTACAGTTCCCAGGCCCACCAGCGGTGACGCCTCTCTCGTTCCTGCTTTGCCGTCAGGCACTATCGAAGAGAAGATCTACCAGAGGCAGATCAGCAAGCAGGGGCTGTCCGGAGCCGTGGTCGACCTGTCCAAGAGGGCCGCTCACATCAGCTTCTCCTCGGAGGAGCTGCGGAACCTCTTCACTCTCCACGAGGACTCGGAGTGCGTCACTCACGACCTGCTCGGCTGCCGCTGCCGATCCGGCGACTCCGCGGGAGGTATCCCCTCACCTCGTACGCTTTCCCGCCCGCGAAAACCGAGCCTTCGAGCTGCCGATCCAGTGGGAGCTTCTCCCGGAGGCTCGTGGCGGGTGACTTGACGCGCCGATGCTCGTAGCCCCGCCGGAGTGAGCCCGCGTCGGCTCCAGATGACTGAAATCACTGCGGTTCAGATGAAGGCAGGAAAGTCTTCATCTGCAACTCAGGTTGTTGCAGATTCTGCTCTGCATCGGCGTCCATCTCACATGGTGCATTTTGTAAAAAAGGCAGCCCCCCCCAGCCCCCCACTTCAAACCAACATGGGCTGAGTATTGTTCCACCATTTCAGTTGGTGGTATAAAGTGGAGAAAATGGTTTGTGGGTACACATTTATCAATTAATTTAGGACTTAAAAATGTAAGTAAGCACCCTTGCAGTTTTTCCTTTTAAAAAAACAACTGACATATCTCAGTCTGTCGTCACCTTTCACTGGTATGAATTGTTACATTATCTGTGATACTGTTGTCGATATCATTATTTATAGATGCTATCAAGATATAGATGCAAAATATCATTCTTAAGCTGAGCTGTAACAAGACAGAATCGACTGACACAGGCTATGCATCACACAGTGACTTTGGTGTTGTTGCTGGCAGGCCTCAAATCAAACCCCTGATGGAGTTTCAAAACCTGGGTGTTATTATGACCCTTTGCTGTCATGTGTAGGAATGTTTGGTACGCTGCAAGGCTGTCTTTTTGCAGTCTGCAAGGTTTTAACATGGTTAAAATCCTTGCTTTGTCTATTTGATTCTCAAATAATTGCAGTATATCTTTAATACTCCAATCTTAGAGGAATATAACACTTTACTAATAGGGGCATCTTCTAAAGTGCTAAATAGGCTTCAGTAGGTACAGAATACCTTGTGCCAAATAAAAGTGTTCTCCATTAACACATACTGTATAGTAACATCTGTCTTCCGTAAATATAACTGGCTCACTGTGAAATTTAGAGAGAAATTAAGGTTTCACTGCTCATGAGTATGGAGTTCTTAATGTAGATTCCCGAACACAACATCTGTCCAACTCCACTGCCCAGATGTGTTAGAGGCTCAGCTGTGAATAATTTAGTTTTAGGTTATACTAGGTCAATTTGCTATTCTTTCTTTTTACTTCCTTGTACCGAAGGCAGAATATTGCCACTTGCATATGAAATCACTGTTGTTGCGGCCCGAAGTTTGATTATGTGGATGTTTTTGGTGCTTTCACAGACAGCGATTTGGACATAATGTGTCAGAATGTGTCAGTACAAATACCTCAAAAACCTCTGCTTCTTGAACGAAAGGAAGGCATCTTGTGGCACCTGGGACTGCCTTAAGAGGACTTTTTGTGATGGGTAGCGTTGCATCATGAAAATGCTGTGCACCACATGATGGTCATAATAGTTTCTGATCTGGACTTGGATGTGATTTAGCATTTTGCTTTTTGCACGATTTTCCATTTTAAATCTGAACTTTTTCAGCTAGCAGCCTTCCGAAAGCTGTGCAGTTTGTCAGCCACAGACTGAATTTTAATGACCGTCACGATCAGCCAGTGTTTTTCTCGTTTCCCTGTGTCTAGGTCTGGCTGCAGAAGTAAAACCCCTGATGGAGAGAAGTTGTCAGCTGGGTCGAAAAAGTGAGAAGCCCAGCACACAAAAGTATCTGTCAATCTCCGAGCTGATGCAGTGGAAACACTATTCTGGAAGCAACCCTACCTTTTCTGATCCTTTTCTAGACAGAGCCAGAGAACATATTACTTTTGCTTTCCAAAGTACCTCTGAATCTCAGATGTCTCCTATCACCAATTCCCCTTGCGAGTAACATGACAGAAAAAGGCTCCTCCACTGCTGTGTCATGACAGGATTTTGAGACAGCAAAGACTTGTTCCTTCTACATGTTAATCAATCAGCATTGATGCAGTCTGCATGCCACCTGACTGATATAGCGTTGCCAACTGATTGCCAGATTGTTACGTTACTCAGGAATTTCCACATCTCATTGTAAAATCATCCAATGTAAACGACGATAAAGTGCAACAAGTGAAACGTCTTTCATTTTTGTTTTGAGCTGCATAATACCGTTTTCTTTTCATTAAGGACCTTCTTGTATTTGTGAGATACGACACATTCACCACCATTTCTTCCGGCAAAAAAGAAAGGAGATGAATCCAAGTTTAATTTTTTAAGAATTTCAGATTACAATTAATTGAGCAAAAAAAAAGGACCTTTTTGTGAAGGATTAGTCTCTGAAAATATTACAAACTCTTTAATGTCTTTTAATTATCACAGGAAGTCCAGAGTCAGAATTTTAACTGTTGACTGATACAGTGGAAATACTAACTCGGAGGAAAAATGCGTTTATGCACAAAGGACAGAAGAAATGTTTGGTTTCTAGTGCAGACATCATTACCAACTCCTGCAGTGTCTAGTGTCAGAAACAAGGCCTACTGTAGTAAACTGTCATGTTTTCTTGAAATTTTAAGAAAAGAGACAAGTTTGTCCCGTTACCCTAGAATGTTTTTTTTCTGCCACTGTATGACAGTTGTACTACAGCAAAACATTTCATGCAGCTAAAGCATCAGATTCTGTTTTTAGAAAGTTGAATTTGTGATTGTAAGATATTGTTTATCAGTTTCCAACAGAGTGAATTGTCATGTGTTTACGTGTATGTATCTGTTTTTTTATTAACTGGATTGTGTTTAATTAATTAAAAGAACACTTTTATTTCAAAGGATTTTATTTATTAACTTATTTCAAGGTGGTTTGTTTAGATTAAGGACATATTATATGGGCATATTAGGCCTGTTTTGAGAATAAGGCATATTTAGCTTTGTTGTGATCTTGTTGTGGACAAAAGGTGTTACATTCACCCACCCAGCCTGTACTCTGTTTTAAGTGCTGGGCATGCCCAGGGCTCCAGAGCAGCTTGTGATAGGACAGAGTAATGAGTTAGGGTGCCCAGCTTCTTTTCCTCATTGGGGCCAGGCATCAAACCCAGGGGAGGACAATGTGAAGTAGCCAACCAAATTTGGTCTTTGCGAGGAAGATTGTCAGTTGGAGCAAACCCGTACAAATGCGAGGAGAATACTGTATGCAAATTGCCCAGAGACCGCAGTGAGGTGGTTATGCTGGGAACAGCACAGCTGAAAGCACGTTCTCTGCCAACTGTCAAAAATTTCTTTGACAGCTTCTGTACTGTGAGGAATCGGTGTCATTTGAATTTCAGTCCATTGGGTTCCTTACTGAACACCTTTGAAAGGTGTAGCACCCTCTAAAAGTGTTTTCAGCTTGATTCTGTCAGTACATGGAGTCATTTACAGTTCTTTTCCTTTTCCTCTAAGAGTTATTTTTCACTTCTGATTTACCTTTTCATAACTGAGGTATGATTTGAACAACAAATAATAGGTAGTCCAAAAAAAGCGACATGAAGATGATGTTAAAATGTGTTTTTTTCCAGTTCATAAAATACATTTTTCTTTGACTAAAATTTGTGCATTTTTTACATTTTAGCTAATAGTTACAATTATAAATACCTGTATATACTTACTAATCGCAATGCTCCAGTTTATGGATTTCACAGATGAAGACTAGGTTCAAATCTAAGTTTTATCATGATATGCCCTTATTAAGAATACTGTAAGTGAAGTCTCAAAGGAGCCCTGTATAATTTCAGTTAAGCCAAATGCTTGCATGCTAAATATCAAGTCAAAAACTAGACCAGGCATTGATACTGTTCAGCAGTTACGCACTGGAATTCATAGACAACTAATGCAATTCAATTGTGCATTTATTAATTGTGATTTATTAAGGCCACACAAGAGATTTAGTATGAAGCAGTATCTTCGGTATGAAGAAGAGAGGATTCCTTCCAATCCTTCTTGAATGTTGCCGTCCTTATTTTTGGCATTTAGCTAAGGATCTGTATTAGGTTTTTCCATACAGCAGGAACTAGAATCAATCTTTTGAGAAAACAAATATGGTGTATATCTGAACCTAAGGACTTTCATGATAACACCATCATAAAGAGCTTGTGACAAATGACTTATTTTTGAATACTCCCAGTCTTTCATGTATTATCTATTTCTGACAGTACTTGCATTAAAATGTTTAATAATGCCAAGGCCTATAATAATCTTTTTGTTTCCTTTATGAATAATAAATTTGTACACTTCAGTGAGCTCCAGGCTGTCTCACATGTTGCTAACATATTTGGTATAATTGTTTATGGCAGTAAATTTGTGAAGAGCTCTTTGATTTAAAATCTTTTAACGTTAGTCATAGTTTCCTAAACACTTTGGCTGACCTTTATCTCACACCGTATGAAATGCCTAAATGGTAAGTTATTGGATTGCTGTTAAATATTTTTAACGATTTGCTGAAATATGGCCCAGACAAAATATTCAAGTAAAACCTAGATATTTTAAATATTAAATATTTTCACCTATTCAAGTTTGACTGTTTTCACCATACTTGTCTATTTCTGTCATTTATTGGTATATGATTCCCCAGATGGCCGTAACTTTCTTTACATCCAAGGATGACAATCAATGTCTGGTGATATTCCGGTTAATTCATTATCACAGAACAGACATATCTAAAAAAGGCCTTTCCTGGCCTGACAAGAAGTCCTCTAAAATCTGACAAATTTAATGATTAAATACTTTTATTAACTGGAAATGCGGGGGAATTTTAAAATGTAAAATGAACTAATGTATTGCCATTGCATTTCATTAAGCACCAAAACATATATTTTTTGGCTTTCTATTACCCTTATTTGGAATGAAAGTAGTTTGTGATAAATGAATCGCTACTCTGTAAGCTGTGTCCCTTTTTTTAAAAGATTTAAACCAGGTGCAGAGCATTCGTTGCCAGAAGACGCCTGATAGATTTCTAATGATGGGGCGCCATTACAGATGAGAGTGAATACAGTGTTCCTTGGAGCTGGAGTTGATCCAGGGATCAAACGTGTGGAGTAGTGGAAAATGTAGGCATTGAAGAACTGTCGCTGTCTCAGCTCTGATTAGTCTGAACAGAGCTGCAATGCTTTAGCTTTGCTGCTGGGCAGGGAATCTCAAGTTTCTAGACTCTTAGAGTGTAGTGTCCC